AAGATTCTCTAATGTGTGAGCGTGTATCCAAGAATAGGCAACCCTTAACACCTTGTTTGAAAAGAAAACAGTTGACAAAAGCTCAATGACATAGACGTTAATTTCACAGAGTTTAACCTAATGGACAACATTTGTGGCCAGACATTACCCCTCATTGACTGACTAGTCTGTTGTTTCCAAACTATCTGTAGAACCATCACTCTGTGCATCAGTTCCTGTTCTTCCTACTACATTGGTCGCAGCACCTCTGTATTTTGGCAATCCAGGATGAATCTTCCCTTTAAGCCTTCCTGGCTGACTCTGGCCTTGAGAGAGCTGCAGGCTTTGGGGATTCTTAGCTTGACCCTGTAAGTAAATAGGATTCTTGTTAGGTCATAGCAGTGTAGCAGAGCATAAAACACAATAAAGCAGAGCAAAATAAGATAATAAAAAGAGTATTAGACATAAGGAAATGGAGTCAAGACAAAGCCAGGGCTACAATTAAAAAGCGAAAAATTTATTTCTAAGTGCAAATGACAAGAAGGCAAAAGTAGGACCCTGATTCCTAATGCTTTGAAACGTACCTGAAAGAATCCAATCCAGTCATTGAGTTCACCTACTATCAGTAGTCTGGCCCTGATTTCATTGTAACTGGGCAGTAGAGGACATAGTGAGTAATGTCCTCCCCTTGACTGACAACGCAGGGACAGAGACGCTGTTCAGCTTACCAAATCTCCCATCAAGCTATTCCAAAGGCCTGGTCTGCAGCCAACGGGATGTAAAAGGCTTTTCCAGTGGGGCACTGGTAATATTAATTGGATTCTGGGGGAGGCTTCAGAGGTTTTATACTAATGCTTCCAGGATGAAATTAGAGATGACTATACTGCATTAGAATCTTTATTAGCATCCTTTCCAAGAAGCCTATCTCTAATGTTTTCTCTGTTCCAAGAACTAAGTTCCCCCCAAAAGGCAGAGTAGTAGATCAGCAAAAGGGCTGCCCTGGGGAGGCCTAAAATCATCCCAATGAATTCTTTTGGACTATGTCCAGTTGAGTAATAACCCAGTGATAGGCATTACTCTATTTGTTGGGTGTTAATTTTCCACCTTGTTTGACATTATTGTCGCATTCAGAACATCTGCTGCCATCTAGTAGTCAGAAAAAAAATCCATCTCCATTCCATTAATGCGTTTTAACTTCTTTCCGTATCGATGACCTGTCCTTGCTTTTCTGCCTGCTGATCGCTCATGGCCATAGGACATTGGACAGCCATGTGAAATAGTTTGAGAAACCAAGAAACAGACTTTTTTTGCCACGTGTGATTTCTTCCAGGTCGGAGAGCATGCGCTGGTGAGAACCTTGCCAAAACGGAGCTCTTCCTCTTCTTTACCAGCCTCCTGCAGGGATTCACCTTCCAGCCACCCCCAGGGGCATCTAAAGATGATCTGGACCTGACCC